TATTTAAAAATATTTATTTTATTTTATTATTTTATATTTTAATTCCGGTCTAGTTTTGGGGTGAAAAGTGATCCAAAGGTAGTCAAGATGCTTCGATAATTTATCGAAAAGTGAAAAAAAAATTTATTTTATTATTTTTTATCTATTTTATTATTTTATTATTTATATTTATTTCATTTCCGGTCTAATTTTTGGGTGGAAAGTGATCCAAAGGGAGTCAAAATGCTTGGATAATTTTCTCTATGCTGTAGCTATTGTGTAGTTTGTAAGGGTTCCTTGTGAGTAGCGGAAGGCGTGCTCGGAGAGGTTCGGTTGCGGGAGGTGCGCGCGCAGAATTCGAGAACCTCTGACCGCGTGCACAGATGATTACATTCGAATGCGAGAATCCGTCTCAACAATACATTCGAGCGATAAAGGGTTGTTATGGTTTCCAGGAAAATACCTTTAAACTTTTAAAAGAAAAAAGTGCGAAAATGGAGCTATCTGATATACATGGAACGTTAAGTCTGCTTAGTTGCTAACATCCTTTACGTTATGTAATGAAACTCTGATGTAATGAAATTTTTGGACTGATTGTACTTTTACATATTTGTTACAGATGTTTTACTCTTAGACGAAATGAAAATTTCCAAGACACTCGCTTTTAATCGTAACAATCTTAAAGTTGAAGATTTTACGAACTTGGGGAAATATACTCCAAAACATCAGGTTGAAAAAATAGGAAACCACGCACTGGTCTTTATGTTTCAATCTTTCAAAATGTACAAATCTAAAATGAATAAAAAAATAACATAAGTTGTAAATTTATTTATTCTTTTCCATTTGTCATGATCAAAATAATAAATCTCGATGCTCACAATTAATTGAAAATATATCATACGTACAATTCATGAAATATAAATTATAGTGTATCTATAGTTTCTAAAATTTCACTTATTTGATTAATACTCGTCACTTTTATATATTTGGAGAAAGGCATAATTTCATCATTGATGTAAATATTAACGTTTATTTTTTTTATTAAATTTTTTTATTAAATTTGGGAATACGGCCATTCTTTTTCTAACACTGTAATCATTTTCTGCCTTTTGAAAACCAAAAAATTTTTTATTTTTTTTTTTATGGCTGCGTTTAGATTCTACACCCGGGTGCACTCAGACACCTAGAAAGCGTTCAGATTCTCTTTGGGTGCCCTTGCCGGATTTTTAGGTGAAGCGTTCACATTGTCACTCTGCTCATCTTAGTTGGGTGAAAAAACCACCTGGCTTCTTGAGCTGGGTGCCGAGCAGGGATGCCAGGAAAACCTTTAACAGCCACTGGCTG